AGCCCCATGGACTTCCCCAAAGACACAATAGATTCCACAACAGGGGTTACCACAGAACAGAAGAGTTGGCCTATCCTTCATAGGCTTGTGTCCTGGCAGTGCCTTTTCCTCCTGCGTGATGTAGGTCCTCTTTGGCATTTTCTTCCAAAAGAGGCCTGTTTCATCACAACTGAACACTTGTTGGGGGAGGAATCCTTCAACCTCTACATTCTCCTTGAGTTTATTAATGATTTCTTCGGCTGCGTGTTTGTCTGAACTTGCAGCCTTGCCATGCCTTACCACACTGTGTATGCCACTTTGCTTCTTGAATCTGTTGAACCAGCCTTTGCTGGCCTTAAATCCACTAACAGCAGCACTTGTTCCAGGCATTTTCTTTATGAGATCTGCATGCAGCTGCCTTGCCTTTTCGCAAATTATCCCCTCCACAACACTATCTCCCGCTAACTGTTTTTCATTGATCCTCACCAGCAACAACTTCTCTACATCTTTGATTGTTTGTGCTCTCTGTTTCATTAGCATATTTACCCCTTTCGCAACATCAGCTTCTTTAATTTTTACTTTCTTCACCAGGATGGAACGATTGTTGATTTGGACCTCCCATACATCCTGGTGAGCTCGGCCACATGCATGCCACTTTAGTGTTTTGATACAAGTTCTTTCTTGAATTCTATCATGTTTTTCACCTTCTTTACGAAAGTGCTGGCACTCTAAACTTTCTTTGGCCCCATGGTGGCTTATTTCGCAGTCGCACTCAATAAACAGGCACCAAAAACAATGGAGGAACATGCAAAGTATTGTTCACTCAACAAGGGACAGAGACAGGCTGAGTCAGGCAGCGGCGGCCCGGGCGGGCAGATGCATCTGATACGGATGATTTCTGAGTCGATGTATGAAACCTGGAGTAAAAATTCTCTGAAAAAAGTGATCGAAATTCTCATTGTACGATATTTGGACTGGACGAAAATCAGAGTTTTACTGTACATCATTTGAGGCATTTAGTAGTTCCGAGCATGTAAGTGACTCTGTGATATATGGAAGGGTGCTGAAAAGTCTTGGTCCCTTTACACTTATTGTCTCTTGTGTACTCACTGCATCCTTTCTTTTCATTAGAGGTGTTTTACATTGCTTGTCAAGCCTCTTGTTCTCAGAGAGAGTTATTTCAGTGTGGAGATTGGAGATTAATCCCTCCAGAATTTCCCAGTTGCAGCTTTTTTTTGTACAGTATCTTTCTCACAAAGTACAGTTCAGGGGTCTTCAGGCATTCCCAGTAATTTAGGTCCTCCACTGAATAGATTTGGGCAGTAAATGTTGTTTGTACCTTCTCCATTTCTGCAACTTTCCCTGCCTTTCACCTGCTTCATGATCTCACTTATTGATGGCTTTTGCAAAGTGTGTGTATACTACTACTGCATTTTATTTTGTTTTTTAAGTGCACCCAAGACTATCATATTAGTCCAGCAATTCATAGAGGCAGGAACAACCTTCTCTAAAATTCTTTTCCCTAGGGTTCAACAATTGTTGTAATTCTATGTATTTAGCAGTCTTGCTTATTAAGATCCATTCAAAGATTTTGATAATGTTGGATGTCAGTGCTTCTGGTCTCTTATGTTTTTGCAGTTGTGGAGTGGGGCTATATCCATGGCTTTTATAGACTGTAGGATGACCCTTTTGTCCAGACTCTGTCTTCAGACTCCAGACTTTATTAACCCTTTGACTGTTTCAGTCGTATATATACATCTTACGAGCCACCGTTTTTGACATATATTTCTTTCTTTCAACACACCGGCTGTATCCCACCGAGGCAGGGTGGCCCAAAAGGAAAAATGAAAGTTTCTCCTTTTACATTTAGTAATACGTATATACAGGAGAAGGGGTTACTAGCCCTTTGCTCCTGGCATTTTAGTCGCCTCCTACAACATGAATGGCTTACGGAGGAAGAATTCTGCTCCACTTCCCCATGGAGGTAAGAGGAAATAAACAAGAACAAGAACTAGTAAGAAAATAGAAGAAAACCCAGAGGGGTGTGTACTGTATATATATGCTTGTACATGTATGTGTAGTGTGACCTAAGTGTAAGTAGAAGTAGCAAGACGTACCTGAAACCTTGCATGTTTATGAGACAGAAAAATGGAAACCAGCAATCCTACCATCATGTAAAACAATTACAGGCTTTCGTTTTACACTCACTTGGCAGGACGGTAGTACCTCCCTGGGCGGTTGCTGTCTACCAACCCACTACCTAGATTTTGATGTATATATATGTACTCATAAATTCTACTGGCTTCAGATCAAGCAGGAGAGAGCTGGTAAGCCCACATGTGAGAGAATGGGTCTGTGTGGTCAGTGTGCACCATATAAAAAAAATCCTGCAGCATGCAGTGCATAATGAGAGAAAAAACTCTGACTTTTTTTTTTAATTAAAATGCTGAATTTGTGGTCTATTTTCATTTAGTATTTATCGTTATATTCTCGTTTTCTTGGTCTCATTTAATAATAATAATGTCTTTATTTACTACACGTACATGTACATGGTATACAGGCCTAGCTGACATCAGTGACATACTACTATATAGAAAGTCCCTTGTTATGCTCCGCATGTCGGGCAAATTAGGTCAGTGTCCCAGGATGTGACCCACACCAGTTGACTAACACCCAGATACCCATTTTACTGATGGGGAACATAGACAACAGGTGGAAAGAAACACGCCCAATGTTTCTACTTTGGCTGGGAATCGAACCCAGACCCTCGCTGTGTGAAGCGAGAGCGTTAGCCGCCAGGCCATTTGATAGAATGGAAAACATATTATAGAAATAGAGGTGATTTTGATTGGTTTTGCTATGAAAAGAACCTTGAAATGGAGCTCAAATTATGGGAAATGTTTGATTTTTGCCGTATGTTCAAAAGTAAACAAATGATATAATTTTCCAATAAATGTCCAAGTAGCCATTCTAATATGCAGTCATGAATGGGTTGACATTATTTATGCAATTATTACAATATTACAGCAGTCTGCATAACAGTAAATCTTCTATTTTTTGTTTGAATAAAAATTCAAAATAGAAAGCAAGAGTAATATCAGAGGGGCCTGGAGACATGACTGATGAACAAAGAAAATGTTATTTTAGAGCCAGGAATGTCTACATTGTTCATTCTGGACCCTATTTTGAAATTGTCGTATTTTTTAATTTTCGTGAAATTGGCCAAATTGCAAATTTCTGACCACGTTATTGGGTAGTTGAAATCGGTAAATGGGCAGTTTCTTGTACTCAATCGATAGAAAAAATGGAGTTCTAAAGAAATAGCTGCAAGTTTGGTCAACTGGAACAATGGAATTAGCCAAAAATAGGGCTCAAAGTGGGCAAAATCGTCGATTTGTAAATATCGCTGAGGTCGCTAACTTCGTGAGAGCGTAATTCCGTCAGTTTTCCATCAAATTTCATTCTTTTGGTGTCATTACAATCTGGAAAAGATTCTTTATCATTTCATAAGAAAAAATAATTTTTTTCGGAAATTTTGTGTCACCAGGAGACACCTCAGGATTTGGGGTTGCGACAGTCAAGGGTTTAATACAATGTATAGACTTAAAATTAATTATTTAAACTATTTAATACTTAAAACTAGAGTAAGTTTTCCTGTAATGCTTTGCATCTCATAGTCTTTCTGATTATTGTATGTTTTGTATATGCAAGAATTTGAGATAAAATATCATGTGTGTTAGTGTTTTCCAAATATTGATGAATGGCATTGCATTAGTTTGGGCTTGGGGCAGAATGGATGGGCATATTATCAATGGCTTCTTTACAGTCAAGCAGGGTTAGGGTCATGTCAGAAATTATTGAGTTTTGGTATATGTTGAGAAAAATTATTTGAATTGTCAGTCATTAGTGTGACTAATAGCTCATTGAATATGGAATCATTGTTACCAAAATATTTCACTCAGTTTTTTGTTGTCATCATTATAAGTTCCTTATCTTTTAAGCAGGTGCCAAATATAAGATGTGACTTTTGCTGTGGATTTTGTGTATGAGAAAAAGAATTTTGAGTTTCTTTCAATTTCATTAATAGCTTTTATGCTTCCTCTGTTTTTTCCTGGACTCTGCATGAGTCCATCTCTCTAACCAATATTTCTGTTTTGCTCTTTGGAAAGTTGAAATGAATTTTATTTTCTTTCTTGCTCTTTATTTCAGTGTCACAGCTGTATAAAAATGAAAGTTTTTTCTAAACAATATTTAATGAAAAATTATGATAAAATTGTGTGTTACTATTGCCCATTTGTTGAATATGTTATCATTAACATTTATGGCTGGGCTGTCTGTATTATATTTTTGTTTCATAGCTAAATATCTAGCCTCTCCGAGGTGGCCGAAGTGTGAATGAGGTGAAAGTGTTGAATGATGATGAAAGTATTTTCTTTTTGGGTCACCCTGCCTCGGTAAGAGATGGCTGACTTGTTAAAAAAAAAAAAAAGCTAAATTTCTGTTGGTTATAACTTCAAATCATTTTGATTTTTTTTTTTTAATTCAAATCCTATTCTTCCAATTGTAATAAAAAATGTGAAAGTTCATTCACTATTTAGTGAGAAATTTTAGATGTGTCTTTGAATACTAAATATAAAAAAATTAGATTCAACTGGAAAATAATTATTGTAGTTTAACATGATTTTTAAAAAAATAGAAGAATGCAAAGCTTTCACCAATATTTTTTTTATGACTATAGTAACACAGTAAATAAAATTATGCATTGTAAACTCCTTATGTTTGTAAGACTTTGTTGTATTATTAATAATGCGAATGATAATACCAGTAATATTAGTTTGTTGTTATGTTCATATGAAAAAATCACTTAAAAAGTTGGTCTTTATTGTTGGGGGTTCCTTAAAACAGAGTTGTCATTTGAGAGGGTTCTACTGTAAAAATATAAAGGAATAAGAGAGTAGAATACATATACTGTATAATTGCTAAACACATTTTGAGATAATCATAGTAGTATTTTATTTCAGTTGAAGAGCAAGGATCTAAAATGCAGGAGGTGAAGTTCAGGAAGACAGTGTTGTCCCACGGCACCTCACGAGATAAAATAGCAGCGCTTGTCCTGAGGTGTATGGAGGCTCCAGTTCACTCATTAAGTCACCTCAATTCTCTTATTGCTATGGTGACACCAAAAGCCAATAGTGGATATGAAGAGGCATTGAGTAAGTATTATTTGTGTGTGCCTATGTCTAAAATTATATTGTATTATTCCACTTTTATCAGTAATTTGTTTGAGAACTTTGGTTTGATTTTTCTTCACATATTCTGTACTCTTACCGTATTTTAATGGTTCTTATTATTATTTATGTTTAACCCTTAAACTGTCCAAACATAGACCTATGTTCGCCTGCGTAGTGCTCCAACCTTGATTTTCCCCATTTGAAAGCATGTAAAAAAACGTACATCTACGTTTGGAGCCCCCGCCACGTGGATGTAGATCTATGTTTGGACAGTTTAAGGGTTAAACTGTCCACACGTGGATATACATTCATGTGCGATGGGCTCCAAACGTAGATCAACATTTTATTTTTCATTCCTTCAAATTTGGTGAGATAGGCCTGAGTCGCCTAGGCATGAAAGAATGGGTCAGTGCACTCAGTGTGCGCACTACGAAAAGAATCGGGGACTACTTAGTACCTTGTGGGAGCAAATAGCATGGCAAACACCAGTGATTCACTGATGTCATGTCATATTAACACTCATATTTTAAGAGGAAAGTAAAAATAGGTTAGATAAATACATAAGTGGGTGTGAGTTGGACCTGACTAGCTTGTGCTCCTGGGTCAGATATCGTGCTCCTTCTTTCATTGGATGTGACCTGACTAGGTGGGTCATTGGTCTAAGCCAGGGGTGACATGGACCTGCCTTGCATGGGCCAGTAGGCCTGCTGCAGTGTTCCTTCTTATGTTCTTATGTATTTGGCTGGATAGCTGGCTGGCTTTGGCTGTCTCTGTCTGTATCTGTCTATATCTGTCTATATCTCTGTCTATCTGTCTATATCACTGTCTATATCTCTGTCTCTCACACGTACTGAAACACAGTTATTATACATAATGTAAATTATCTAGGATAACCCAAAAATTCCAGGCCAAGTGCTATACAGTGTTTGTAGATTGTTTTTTTTTTTTTAAACAAGTCGGCCGTCCCCCATCGAGGCAGGGTGACCCAAAAAAGAAAGAAAATCCCCAAAAAGAAAATACTTTCATCATCATTCAACACTTTCACCACACTCACACATTATCACTGTTTTTGCAGACGTGCTCTGAATACAACAGTTTAGAAAATATGAAAATAACCGGTTTCCCTGAATCCCTTCACTAAATATTACCCTGCTCACGCTCCAACAGATCGTCAGGTCTCAAGTACCATTCGTCTCCATTCACTCCTATCTAACACGCTCACGCACGCTTGCTGGAAGTCCAAGCCCCTCGCCCACAAAACCTCCTTTACCCCCTCTCTCCAACCCTTTCGAGGACGACCCCTACCCCGCCTTCCTTCCCCTATAGATTTATATGCTTTCCATGTCATTCTACTTTGATCCATTCTCTCTAAATGACCAAACCACCTCAACAACCCCTCTTCTGCCCTCTTGACTAATACTTCTATTAACTCCACACCTTTTCCTAATTTCCACACTCCGAATTTTCTGCATAATATTTACACCACACATTGCCCTTAAACAGGACATCTCCACTGCCTCCAACCGTCTCCTCGCTGCTTGCATTTACCACCCAAGCTTCACAACCCATATAAGAGTGTTGGTACTACTATACTTTCATACATTCCCTTCTTTGCCTCCATAGATAACGTTTTTTGACTCCACATATACCTCAATGCACCACTCACCTTTTTTTCCCTCATCAATTCTATGATTAACCTCATCCTTCATAAATCCATCCGCCGACATGTCAACTCCCAAGTATCTGAAATATTCACTTCTTCCATACTCCTCCTCCCCAATTTGATATCCAATTTTTCTTTATCTAAATCATTTGATACCCTCATCACCTTACTCTTTTCTATGTTCACTTTCAACTTTCTACCTTTACACACATTCCCAAACTCATCCACTAACCTTTGCAATTTTTCTTTAGAATCTCCCATAAGCACAGTATCATCAGCAAAAAGTAACTGTGTCAATTCCCATTTTGAATTTGATTCCCAAAATTTAATCCCACCCCTCTCCTGAACACCCTAGCATTTACTTCCTTTACAACTCCATCTATAAATATATTAAACAACCATGGTGACATTACACATCCCTGTCTAAGACCTACTTTTACTGGGAAGTATTCTCCCTCTCTTCTACACACCCTAACCTGAGCCTCACTATCCTCATAAAAACTCTTTACAGCATTTAATAACTTACCACCTATTCCATATACTTGCAACATCTGCCACATTGCTCCTCTATCAACTCTATCATATGCCTTTTCTAAATCCATAAATGCAATAAAAACTTCCCTACCTTTATCTAAATACTGTTCACATATATGCTTCAATGTAAACACTTGATCTACACATCCTCTACCCGCTCTGAAACCTCCTTGCTCATCTGCAATCCTACATTCTGTCTTACCTCTAATTCTTTCAATTATAACCCTACCATATACTTTTCCTGGTATACTCAGTAAACTTATTCCTCTATAATTTTTACAATCTCTCTTGTCCCCTTTCCCATTATATAAAGGGACTATACATGTTCTCTGCCAATCCCTAGGTACCTTCCCCTCTTTCATACATTTATTAAACAAAAGTACCAACCACTCCAACACTATATCCCCCCCTGCTTTTAACTTTTCTGTCATGATCCCATCATTTTCCAGCTGTTTTACCCCCTTTCATTCTACGTAATGCCTCACGTCCCTCTCCCACACTTACATTCTGCTTTTCTTCACTCCTAAAAGATGGTATACCTCCTGACCAGCGCATAAAAATTACCGCCTCTCTTTCTTCCTTAACTTTTAAAAGTTCCTCAAATATTCTCCGCCATCTACCTAATACCCCCATCTCCCCATCTACTAACTCCCCTGCTCTGTTTTTAACTGACAAATCCATACTTTCCTTAGGCTTTCTTAACTTGTTTAACCCCAAAAATTTTTTCTTATTTTCATTAAAAATTTCTTGACAGTGCCTCTCCCACTCTTTTCATTGCTCTCCTTTTGCATGCTCTCACAACTCTCTTCACCTTTCTTTTACTCTCCATATACTCTGCACTTCTTATAACACTTCTGCTTTGTAAAACCCTCTCATAAGCTCCCTTTTTTCTCTTTATCACACCCTTTACTTCATCATTCCACCAATCACTTTTCTTTCCTCCTGCCCCACCCTTCTATAACCACAAACTTCTGCCCCACATTCTAATACTGCATTTTTAAAACTATTCCAACCCTCTTCAACCCCCCCACTACTCATCTTTGCACTAGCCAACCTTTCTGCCAATAGTCGCTTATATCTCACCCGAACTTCCTCCTCCCTTAGTTTATACACTTTCACCTCCCTCTTACTTGTTGTTGCCACCTTCCTCTTTTCCCATCTACCTCTTACTCTAACTGGAGCTACAACTAAATATTTTTTTTATTTTTTTTTTTTATTATCACACTGGCCGATTCCCACCAAGGCAGGGTGGCCCAAAAAAGAAAAACTTTCACCATCATTCACTCCATCACTGTCTTGCCAGAAGGGTGCTTTACACTACAGTTTTTAAACTGCAACATTAACACCCCTCCTTCAGAGTGCAGGCACTGTACTTCCCATCTCCAGGACTCAAGTCCGGCCTGCCGGTTTCCCTGAATCCCTTCATAAATGTTACTTTGCTCACACTCCAACAGCACATCAAGTATTAAAAACCCTTTGTCTCCATTCACTCCTATCAAACACGCTCATGCATGCCTCCTGGAAGTCCAAAAGCCCCTCGCACACAAAAACCTCCTTTACCCCCTCCCTCCAACCTTTCCTAGGCTGACCCTACCCCGCCTTGCTTCCACTACAGACTGATACACTCTTGAAGTCATTCTGTTTCGCTCCATTCTCTCTACATGTCCGAACCACCTCAACAACCCTTCCTCAGCCCTCTGGACAACTTTTTGGGTTTAATCCCACACCTCCTCCTAACTTCCAAACTACGAATTCTCTGCATTATATTCACACCACACATTGCCCTCAGGACATGACATCTTCCACTGCCTCCAGCCTTCTCCTCGCTGCAACATTCATCACCCACGTTTCCCACACCCATATAAGAGCGTTGGTAAAACTAAAACTCTCATACATTCCCCTCTTTGCCTCCAAGGACAAGTTCTTTGTCTCCACAGACTCCAAGTGAAACCACTCACTCTTTTTCCCTAAATCAATTCTATGATTCACCTCATCTTTCATAGCCCCATCCGCTGACACGTCCACTCCCAAATATCGAATACGTTCACCTCCTCCATACTCTCTCCCTCCAATCTGATATTCAATCTTTCATCACCTAATCTTTTTTGTTTTCCTCATAACCTTACTCTTTCCTGTATTCACCTTTAATTTTTTCTTTTGCACACCCTACCAAATTCATCCACCAAACTCTGCAACTTCTCTTCAGAATCTCCCAAGAGCACAGTGTCATCAGCAAAGAGCATCTGTGACAACTCCCACTTTGTGTGTGATTCCCTTTTTCTTTTAACTCCACGCCTCTTGCCCCAAAACCCTCGCAAATTTTCTTTTTCTTACAACCCCATCTTATAAATATATTAAACAACCACGGTGACATCACACATTTCCCTTTTCTAAGGCCTACTTTTACTGGGAAAAAATTTCCCTCTTCCTACATACTCTAACTTGAGCCTCACTATACTCGTAAAAAACTCTTCACTGCTTTCAGTAACCTACCTCCTACACCATACATTGCAACATCTGCCACATTGCCCCCTATCCACCCTGTCATACGCCTTTTCCAAATCCATAAATGCCACAAAGACCTCTTTAGCCTTATCTAAATACTGTTCACTTATATGTTTCACTGTAAACACCTGGTCCACACACCCCCTACCTTTCCTAAAGCCTCCTTGTTCATCTGCTATCCTATTCTCCATCTTACTCTTAATTCTTTCAATTATAACTCTACCATACACTTTACCAGGTACAATCAACAGACTTATCCCCCTATAATTTTTGCACTCTC